AACTCCTGAAGACTATCACTACCTAATGAAAGAAAGTCTTTCAAAACCAGGTTTACATGTTAATAAGTAACCCCTATGGCAAGCTAACAACAAACAGAGCACCTTTACAGAAAAATGCCATATCATAGTTACATCAACTGAATTCTATGGACTTTAGTGAGTGGAACTTCTTAAGGAAGGGATCTTAAACATCAAAGCCTTGCGTGGACATTAAGCTCCACTGATCCCTTCTGTAAAATAAAGTGGGGTCGTGTCCATCAAAAGTTTACCTTCTAGGCACTGTTGTGTCATGTGCTATACACCTTCACTCATACTCTGTTGCTTTTCAATAGTGTTCTTCTATGTTTACTGTTATTTCTAAACTGCTTTGGCATCCTTCTGGGATGGAAGCCATTGTGTGTAAGAAATAAGAATGAACAACGTTCCTGAAGTCAAGCTGCTGCTAACTATATTTTGGGAAAACCTTTGTTTAACATAATCTAGGGTACATGCAGGATGTCAGAAAGCCATGTAAAAGACAATATAGACTGTTCCCCAAACTCCAGCTCACTTTGAAACATCCTTAGATTGCATGGCACAGTGGTTTATGTACCAGCCCTCTTCTCACTGACACTTCAAATTTGGCTCATTTATTGTGCAGTATATTGGCTCACTTGACTTGAATACACTTAAACTTGTTCACACTATCGGACCTGAAGTCAGCTGTTTCCATGGAATTCCACTTCATTTTCTGCATCATTGAAGTAACTCAAACCCCTCCCAATTTATACCTACAAAGGATCTGTCTCTTTCTCCTGGGAGGAAGCCCCTGAAGTTTTGAGTTCAGACATCTATTGGTGTGAAGTGGGACTGCTTCATTATACCCCCCGTCCCGACCTTCTTCTCCTTTTCCCATGTAGCTGGGGTTGCATCACCACATCAGTCTTTTCCAGGCTTGCTTGTCCAATGCTTGCTATGTATCCACTCCATCCTACCATACACAGTCCATCCACCATTTTCTTGGCCATCCTCTTGTTCTTCGCCCATGTACTTTAATCTCAAGCATCTCCCTAACAAGATCCCCTTCATCCATCCTTTGTACACACCCATACCATTTCAGCCTCTTCTCTTACAGCTTCTTTTTGATATTGAAGACCTTGGTTTCACTCCTGATGACATCATTCTGTTGTCCCTCTTCTTTTTCTAAAAGCAAACTGCTCCTTTCCTAAAATGGGCTCCACTGTTGGACAAACGCAACTATGATTCTAACATCTTCATACAATGGGGCAGCAATGTAATTCCTTATTACTTTGAATGTATATGTCACCATTTTGTTTGTATATTGGTACCAATATGGACTTTTTCCATCCTCTTGGGAGTGTCTTCTCTTTCCAAACTGCACACAAGACACACTTGAGCCAGCATACACGAAACTCTCTCAAGGCTTTGATATTTTCCACCATGACTTCGTCTGGACCTGCTGCTTTTCCAGGTGCCATCTTCAGCAGTGCAGTCTTGATGTCTGCCTCTGACAGGTCAGAGACATCTGTGATTTTCGGTTCCCACAATGGTAGTGTAGCATATAAAGTAGACCCTCATTAAGTTGACCCTCAAAGTAGTCTTATTTGTTATTCATATTATCACTCACTCTCATATCTATATCTCATCAATACACAGGCTTCCAAACTGGGAACCACATTCACTGGTGACCTTTACAAGAATTAACTGGTACCAGATTTTATTTGTTTTATTTTCAAAAGGAATAATCAAAGTTAACAAGCCCCAAACTTATCCTGTTATCTGGGTATTTTACAAAAAGAAACAGGAGGTGTAAGTATTTTCTAAAATTATCTCCCAAGGGAAGGCCTAACACAACATTCAAGTTTCAGCTCCTCACCTAGGAGAAGCATACACTCAGGGTGGAGTTTATTATGACTGGGGATGTCTACTAAAAGTGGGTGTTCATTCATGTCATCTTCCTACTGCTCCTAAAAGCCCACATCTTCGCTCCCTAAGGGGAAATGCTGCAGCATGTATCTGCCAGATAATAATGATTGATTCTAAGGGAATTAGCATAATTACACTTGTGTTAAACTTTAGTAAAAGGGAAGTGATGCTTCAGTCAAGCAGACTCATAGCCCTTTGAAAATCACTGGAAAAATTCAAGACTTACTCCACTATAAACTGAATTTTGCTATAAACTAGTTCACTATGCAGCATGTGGGTGTGGGTCACTTGCCAGAATTATCTGAGTGTATTTCCCTACCATTGTGAGGGCCTCAGGCACTGGTGTCTGGGGTCCCTCGTATTCTCTGCCTGTGGATGATTTTTTTGTTTGGTTAGTTGCAAGGAAGATGCTAGATTGATGTCTCTGGAAACTGAAGTTCTATCTTTATCCACATAACGTATACAGCACTGGCTTGCTCAAAATGCTCTACCAACATGCCTCAAGCTTAACCCTGTGGCAGCATTTCTAGGAATTAAATGGTGTTCAATGCCTAGCCTTTCTGCAGACAACACTGTGGCGGTGCACCCCATAAGGCTTTATGGAAATATGCTTATGAATATATATATGACCTAACTGGAATATGTTTTATGCTACATATGCCATGTAACATAGCTATGTAAAGGTTATTCATAAGCATATTTCCATAAAGCCTTATGGGGTACACCGTCACAACCACTAAGTGCCAACTGTAGCAACAGCTTTTGCAACATACTCAGCTGTTCGGCAGCAACTGGACTCAAATCATCAACTCATCTCATTTAAACCACAACACAGCTATCAGATGTTAACTCTGGTCACTACAACGTGGGTTAGCTGGGAGGTGAAAATCTCTATGCAATTGTCCATTCTAGGAGCCAGTTTCCCTGATCTCGTATGGGTTTATCACGTTTAAAAAAGGATTTCTAAAAATTTAATTTTACATCTTATCTAACAGATCAAGAGATGACTTACTAAGTTATGCCCTTTTTCTTTAAAAAAGGCTACATACTCATAATTTATGTCTTTTCTTTACTGAGTAGCTTTATGCATATTCAAAGTAAGTACTGTAGACTGAAAACACAATTCTCTTCCATCTCAATAATTAAGAACAGAATTTATAAATAGCAGCATGATCAAGAAACAATGGGAAAGCACAGGATACTCACAGGAGCATATACCAAACATTTTCCAAATGGAGATAAAAGACAAATAAGCAGGGAGAATGCAAGGCATGACTACAGTACACATCAAGAGAAAGGGAAATCCATATCAGAATAGCCACTCCAAATTCACACATATTGCTAACAACTCACAGTAAATATCAGTTTTTAACTATACAGAGACACCCATCTCTTCTTATATTTTATACTAACTTTATGAAGACATGCATCTGAAGAAGTGAGGTTTTTACCCACGAAAGCTTATGCCCAAATAAATCTGTTAGTCTTTAAGGTGCCACCAGACTCCTTGTTGTTTATGAAGACAGGGTTTTGTGGCATGGTTATTTTGTTGAGACAGTTTTTTCGGCATTAGATGATACAAAAGACATAGGCACAAAAAGTACAAGTGAAACTTATTCAAATGATCCTGTCATTTTCTGCGGAAGCCCAAATAGCTCTCTTTAAAATTCCACATTCTAGGCATGTTTAATAGGTAACCTGGTGCTAAGGACTATAGAATTCTGCAGTTAGCTAAGGAGTAACATTGCTTAAAAGGAGAGGTTTTTTTCTGGTATACAAGTTGTCTGAAATTCTGAAATAATTAAATGTCTCTTCAAGTAAGGCCCAAAACCTCTGTATGATATTTTTGTCTAGTAAAATTACATTTACTGGCCGGACTGCTAATAAGAATTATGGACTCACCAAGCAAGGTTCAAGGACAGCACTTTGGCAGTAATCCCAGCATCCTCTATTCCAAGCAAGAGTGGAGTCCATACTGTACAAGGGTATTGCTATTGTACAGTGCATTCCCTCCCCCTCATCTTTAATAGCAGTCTTTGCTAGTAGGGCTAATCTTCCGGCTCTTGGGTGTCTGGGAACATACAAAAGATTAGGTGGGCAGAAAAGGGGTCGGAGACAGATTGGACAAGTTAAAAAATATGGTATTAAAAGATCTTGGGGGAAGAAAGAGCCAAATATTTGGAAAGAGGTAGAGAACAACACAGGGAAAGATAGATATACAAGGAGGTAGGAGAGAAAAGGAGGAAATAGGGAAGACTGAAACCACCACCGGGGAAAAAATGCACCACGAGCAGGTCAGAAAAAAGTCTAAAAGATGCAGGAGAGGGAGGGAAGTTATGTTTCAGGTAGTTAAATTGAAAGAAGTTTGATTAAGTTACAAAATTATTACACTATTTATTTATTCCATTAAACTGCAGGGCTGTGGCAGCAGCCAGGTATTGATTACCCTGCTAGTGGAGGCAGGGTAAATTTTGAGCCAGCCCCAATATCTTCGGTAACTAACAAGTACCATTATCCTGTTGACATAATTGTTGCAGTCTCCAAGTCTAGTAAACTCTGCTGAGCTCAGGCTGTTGCAGTTTTGAGTTCTGTGCTATCTGGAGCTTCACCTGCTACGAGGCCTGTGAGAGCGTACTGTGCACCTCTGACCCTGAAGAAACCCTGAAAACTGCAAGATGTGAAGATGGAACCTGCTCGGCAAGACCGTCATCATAGAATTTGCAGGACATTGGGCAAGGAATGTGTGCATGTGGGGATGGCTAACTGATGGAAGAGCACATCTTAGATTGGGTATGGTTGTGTCTGGGGATGCTTCTCCAAAACTTAATATTTATTTGGTTAGAGGATTTAGCTACGGTTCACACTGTTCCTTTGTATTTTCTGATCCTGCTCACTGATTCTTAGTTATAATCAATATTGTATTATAGAGTTAATTAAACTTGCAGTTGACTAGTTGTCTGACACCACGCAGTGGTGCACCACTCTTTCTGCACAAGTATAAAGAAGCCTTGGGAAACACAGGAATGAAGCAGTTGAAACAGAGGAAGAGAAAAAGAGAAAAGATATGTGCTCACCACTGGACTTGCCCGAGCAGAGCTGGCTCTAGAAGATGCCCGAGATCCGGAGCCAAGGTAGCAGCTGTACTCCGACGGCTGCCCGCAAATACCCCAAGAACACAGTAAGCAGAGATAAGAACAGGATTAGCACTGGAGCAATCAGAGCAATAGAAGAGTCAGAACAATGCCATTTCAGGTTAGTTAAAAAAGGGGTACATGCAGCTGTGAAAGAAGAAAGAGGAGGTTGAAGTTGAAGAGCAGACACCTACTTTAGACAAAAAGGTCAGCATAAGCAATTGGTACAGCAAATGGACTGAGTAAAAAGGTTTTGGTTTAACTCTTACACCATGTGGAGCAGAGAGATATTTGTACTTAATATTTTATTTGAAAGTTTAAGATATCAATCAGACATTCCTTCAATTTCTGTATGTATGGAGTGATTCCATCCCATTCCTTCATTAGCAGATCTTACCTCCTAGCTCTGTTCAGTCCTGTGATGCTTTGGGGGTTCACCCAGACCAGTAAGGGGTTCTGTCAGCCCCTGCCCTGTAACCTTGGGTGCCTTAGGCTGTGCAGCTTTGCTTGAGAGCCCTGACACCAGCAGTATGCCCACAGCACAATGGTCTCACCCTGAGCACTGACCAGCCCACTTATTCCTTGCAGGATGACTCCAATAACCTTCCAGACACTAGTCTCCCCAAAACCATCTCCTCTGCAGCGGCAAGTCCCTTTTACTGCTCAATCACAGAGGGCTAACAAGTTGTTTGTACTGGCTCTTTGGAGGCATCTCTGTGAGTGTCTTGTAAGAGGACTGGATGCTGCAAGTGAGAATGTTTTGGGGCACTTCGGGTCCAGAAGGGTTGTTGGGGATGCCCTGCAAGGAGTAACTGGGCTGGTGGAAGCGCAGGGCAAGACCACTGTGCTGTGAGTATACTGCTGGTGTCAGGGCTTTCAGCCAAAGCTGCACAGCCTAAAGGTACCCAGGGTTACAGGGCATGTGGCAAGAGAACCCCTTTTTGGTCTGGGTGAAACCCCAAAGTGCCACAAGCCCCTCACCCTCTTCTGCAATACTGTGCAGTTACAAAATGAACACTTGCTCAATACCCAAAGCAAGAAACTTCCGTGGTTAATAAGTGTTTCTTCTTGATTGGATGCAGATACTATGGTAAGAACTGTACCCTCCTATAGACTGAGAGCATCACCCCTTCAGCCTCCATCTCCTGCTGACGTAGGGATTCTAGTCGTTCCTAAGAGCAGCTTTCTACAGAGCAAGATATAATTGACAGTGTTGACTTGTGGCGGACAGGTTTAGGCGAAAATAGTCAGAGACATTATCGTGTTAGTCACCACATTGACAGGCTGGAATCTGGTGAAAGTGGAGAATGCAACAGTATAAAATAAGGAAGGAGTTTTACCCATTAGAAAATCAGAATTGAAATCTCTTTTGGATTTGAATTTCCGAATTATTTCCCCCCACACACATTTGACACATACTTCCACAGCAGCAATCAGACACCCTATTGCACTGTACCGTATTGTTACACACATGAATTGTCAGGTGTAGATAAAGAAGATTTCAGCATATTTATAACACACTTGAGCCAAAAAAACAAGTGGTCTTTATGCTCATTTCCTGCGACACTGTTTCTGTCACTACTGCCTCAAAGACAACTGCGAATGTAATTTTTCAGAAATGCAATTTTGATTGTTAAAAAAGCAGGAACTGAAATACACATAGCATGCCCTGTTTATTGTGTCCTTCAATGATCAAAAAGCCTTATGACTCATTGCATTTCAAATGCTGTTGGAGACAAGACTGACCTTTTGTTGACTGCCTTGTCAATGAATTCCTATAATCAAAGATGTCATCCGAGATGCAGATTTCTGAATAGTATTAACAGTGGTGTGTGAGAGACAGTATGATTTTGTAATAATATTGGTGGTTATTTTGTAAATAAGACTATTTTTGGAATAAAGTGCTGACAATTTAAGCTTTAAATTTAACCTTCTAAACAACTATTGGAATCTGAAGAGGAATCACCTTGATGCTAAAGGTAGTTTCTTTCTATTAAAATAATTTCTGAAGACAGACAACACTAAAATATACCAACTTCCGTAACTCAATTGGGCCAGTAGAGAAGCCATCCTCAACTCCTCAGCTACTGAGAGAACTGACAAGATTGAGTATCCTCAAGGTGAAAAGGCCAGTGGAAGCTTACCTACTTTGTTTTACAGGTGGGTAGCAATGCAATTTCTAGTGGGGGGGTGTTGTTTTTTTCCCCTTGGCTGGATGTTTGGTTTTGGGGGGAGGTTGTGTGTGTGGTTTTTGCTTTGTTTTTTAAAACAAGATGAGAATTGAAGCTTATGTAGGAAAAAAACTTTCAAGATTGGGACAGAAATGGTCCTTTCTGCAACAGAGCCATAAGCTTAACAAGTGTGACTTCAAGACAGTACACTGGCAGCAGATAACAGCCAACAAGCTATGGAAAAAGGAGATAGGAGCACCCTGAAACCCTGCTTTTCTTGATATTCTGCAGATAGTGACAAAGCTTCATGCGTGTTGACTATTGAACTTTGTCTCAGAAAAGTCAGAGCAAATACCTAAGGATTCCATTCCCTTAAGAAACCTGTTAGATGAGTCTTGCTCCATCACTGCTATTAAAAATATACATTAAGTAAAACAAAAATGTAAGAAATTATTCTTGAAATATATTATGGGGGAAATGTAACTGCTCATACCAGTCTAATAGTGAACTATTGTTTCTCAGCTACCTCGTTCCCATTTGTTCCTCTCCTTGCTTTAGCATTTATAACCAGGGATAAAGCTGCTCTCTGTATTTAAGGATCTTGTGGGAAAACAATTTGTAAAATGTCATTAGCAAAAGAAAAAGATGGATTGCTGAGTTAAGTGCCCTCTGGTCAGTAATTTGGGGGTGAGCAAGGAAAGAAGAACTACATACCACTTTGTCCTACACATTCGCTCAGTGTCTTTGGCTAGTGAGGAAGAGGACTCCAACATTCTTCAGGAACTGCTTCTTGGCAACAATTGCCGAAATGTCTCTTCCAGATATGAGCAAAGCTATAAACTTCACGGCCACGAGCATAACTGTGTCAGTGCAAAGCTGTAATCAAGATATTCCTCTGGAGGCAGGGGTGAAAATAACTTAAAGGACTTACCGGTATGCAGGGCCGGGGTCCTGAGCAGGGGGTGGGGCCTCAACCAGAAGGGGTGGGGCCTCAACCGGAAGGGGTGGGGGCTTTAAATCCCTGGGGCTTTTAAATAGCAATTTAAATCTGGCAGTGTTTTAAAGGGCTCCGGCAGCAGCATGCTGGGGGAGCCCCGGGCCCTTTAAATCATCAGCAGAGCCCATGGTAGCGGTAACTGCGGCTGCTGCCAGGAGCCCTGGGCCCTTTAAATCGCTGCCATAGCCCCGGGCCTCCCGGCCACCGCCACCGCCACCCCGGGGCTCTGGCTGCTGCCCGGAGCCACGGGCCCTTTTAAATTGCTGGCCTGGGGAAGCTGCCCCCTGCCAGAATGGTCAGCTGTGTACCCGTTCTTGCCGGTAGGCCATACTGGACCGGCCAGACTGGCTTACTTTCACCTTTGTCGGGAGGCAAAGGCCTCATATTTCAACTGTCTTGTGATTACAAAGCACCATGCTACACTAGAACTGGAGAGACTGCATTCTTCACCAGCATGCAGAATCTGTGGCACAGTAGAGAGGAGAAGAGAATGATACTACGGACATTAGTGTCTTTGTACAACATCCTTAGGCTTGGCAGAATTTTTTTTTTTTTTAAATCATTTCCATGGGTATCATCAATGTTTATTTTTATCTATTTAAATGTTCACAGTTGAGGGAAATTATGGGGGTCCAGACAATTATTTAATGACCGTAGACATTGAGATATAAAAAGTTAAAAAGTTTTATAACCATTAAAACACAAATTGTCAATACCATGGGTCAAAATAGACAAAGTAAGAAAAATGCTGCATGAGAACTTACTAGAGTTAATTTTGTATATCTGTAAATTTCAATCAATGGAAATATTTTTGCACCTGTGTGGTCGGTGAAATTGAATTTACTGACATTTACTGATAAAAATCGAATCCTTCCAAGCCTAAACATTCTCCATTCAAAACGCTATGCTCCATGTCTCAACAAGATGGAGAAATAGCTCTCAGGCTCAGAACCCACAGTAAATGAGCGTTTTGCCCAAATCAGGACTGCAGGATATGATCCTTTGAGATATTTGTCTAAATGACACACACCTCCACCCACCAAACATGACTGCACTGTCCAGATGGCAAATCCATTGGATTACAGGCTGCTAGAACCTACCATCAATGGATGTTGCAACAGAGCAAAATGAAAACAAGAAGCAAATTAATTTGAAGGGCAGAATAATATTGATAAAATGTACAGTTCTATTAGCAAGTCATCTTTTGATTGCAACAGAATGTCATGTACTGGTAGAGGATAAAGTGAAAATATCAGCTGGGTTAGAATTACAGAGACGATTTCAATTTATTTTTCTAAGTTAAGAACAGGACAACACTTAGAACGCATAAGAGAGCATTAGAATATCTATTTGTCATTAATTACTGGTGAAAATAATGTAGAAGGTTTAAGACTTTCACAAGGGAAGCACTGAACAATGAAGGTCTCTATTTACATTTTCAGAGCAGGCACAATGGCAGTATAAGTTTCCTCACACTGCCGCACCAAAATGGCTCCAAACCTGACATGGGGACACTGGCTGAGAGGAGAAGGGGTGTCTTTATCTTTAGCTTGTGTTTTGCGATTGACATTAAGGGTATTACTAGTAATGCTGATATTTGTAACCTGTCCACTAGTTAATGGACGACGCCCTACCCATCCCCTAGCTCATTTAAATAAGCCAGTGAACAACCATTAAATGCTAATAAATTGTCATTTCTGACCAGAGTCAGATTTAAATGGGTAGAAGCATCTCCCATAAATGATTCCTTGAGCTCTCCAGTCTCACCCTAGCAAGTATTAGAGACTATCATCCTCTTAAGTCACCTGGTGTTAAATACCATGTTACAAGAGAATGAACCCCAAACCATGACTAAGTCACAAGTCTGGCACATACTCTAAGTGGAAACATAGTAGCATGGGGGTACTGAATTAAGCTAGCTGAAGTCAGTTTATTTAAAAGTGAAATGGAGCCCCAGGGAAGAAGGGGGATCTTACATAAATGTGGTTTTCCAGCTGATGCTTTGAATTTTCTTAACAGCAAATGAATTCAAAGGCAGAGCTAAGATTCCTTTCACCAGAAAGGGGAACCCCTTATACTGCGTCATATTGAAACTAATAGGTGATACCCCTGCACAGTGTAGTATGACAATTGCAGGTAGGACACTTAGTATTTGTCTCCAGTGAATCTACATGGAGGGAACTTTGTAGAGGTGATGCTCCCAGTCTTGTTTACATAATTCTCCATCAGCAGCTATCTGGCCAGTAATCTTATACTGCCCATTGATACAGATAAAACTACGCTCTAGTAAAACAGGTTATCATAGGAGAAAACACTGAAGACAGGCCCAGCAGAAAAATGCAGAAAACATCTTACAGCACGAGAACTAGAGGCACTATATCGACGATTCCCACTGTAAATGCTCTCATCATACAGAGACGCCTACAATTAAAAAACAGAGTCAGCACAAAACTGGTAGACTTTGGTTTTGTTTCTAATCTGGAGCATTACAAGATAGCAAGGTGCAGCACAAACAAAGGGGGGGGGAAAGGCAGAAGAGAATGAACAAAGGTGCAGAAACAACAGGGGCATTTCCTGTAAAACCCCGTATGGCATGCAAGTGAAGAATGAATCCGTTAATTCTTAGCTCCAGTGAGCTGTGAAACACTACAGAACACGTGCAGAATTAAAATGAGAGATCAAAAAGTCATCAGAAACTTCACACATTCATGCATTCTTAACAGTTCTTTTTCGAACTATCAACTTTAACACTTAAAATTACCTGCTATAAAGTGACAACATCAATTCTTATAATTTTAGTGGTGCTAAACCAAATATTTCTGGGTTGGGACAGTGTAAGGAAAAGAGAAAAGTGGATTCCTGGTAAATTTAATTGAAAAAGAGAGATTAGTTACTGAATTAATAGGAAGCTGTTGGTGGGGAAGCATGTTCTAAACCGCTACCATGTGGTTCCATTTTAGAACACCAATGTCTGGCTTAGTTATGTGGCTCCGAAAATGCAGGGTAGGGTTGCCTATCACCACTGTAAAGACTTAAGAATGAAGTTAAACTGAGTGTGCAGCTAACACAGGAGAACAGTGGGAATGTATTCTGCAAGAAACATTACACGGTATATTTTGTTTTCAAACAAGACACATTTTTACCACTTTGTATAGGTCAGGATTGATGTTGCCTCTTTCTAGTCCATATTTCAGTGTCCTACATCATACACCGAAATGAAGACAGAAATGTCTTACTCCAATTAGAAATCTGCAGAAGTGTTACAGATCCATAAGCAACTGTTGCAGAATTCCAATGGGAGTAAAATGTAGGACCAGCAAACAGAGTTGACAGATGCACCATGGGCATATGTGCATTCCATTCAAAAGGATCATATACTAAAATGACAGTATAGTACAATATAAATAAATTGGACCAACAAGATGGTCTCAACAAACTGCAAAGGCAAAAGACAACATGTGCATGGGTGAGTGCACAGCTTCTGCATTTGTGGTTAAAATGACAAAGCACAACAAACCCTGTAACTTCTGGCAGGCAGAACATCACTGTACAGCAAGGAGGGCTGGGGAAGACAAGCACAAACCTTTTTTATATAAAAATGGATAACGGCAAAAAGTGTTCATATTGGGATTAATCATCCTGGTCAGACCTAATCATGCTATTAAAACTGGTATGCTATAATGCAAGGAAGCGGAATGTACAGATATTGTACACAGTATTACAAAACTGTATTAACCATCTGTGCTTAAAAACCTGAAAGTTCAAGTCCAAACAAAGACTAAGTATAAAGTAGACATATGCATGTTTCCTACAGGAAGGGAGGATATCAGAGTGCGCAGAAGCAAAACCGAATAACTTATTTTAGTCACTAATCCCTCTCCTACTGTCTAAGAGAAAGACCTATATGTAAGGCTAGGATTTTGTCATGGAGGTCACCGAAGTCACAGAATCCGTGCCTTCCAAAACATGACTTCAGCCCACAGGCAGCAGGAAATGCAGGGTACCCCCACCTGCTGAGGCGGCAGGGCCCCGCAGCTCCCGGCCATCTCAGGCGTCAAGGGGGACCCTGCTGCCCCCGACCATCGTGTGGGACCCCACAGCTCCAAGCCGAGGGGAAAGGGGGACCCTGGAACTTTGAGCCCCCATGGGTGGTGTGGGCCCCCGGAGCTCCCAGCCGGCCCCCACAGCTACCGAGAGGCTCCCCATTTTGTCAGATATTTTTAGTAAAAGTCAGGGACAGGTCACGGGCTTCCGTGAATTTTTCTTTATTGCCCATGACCTGGTCCCTGACTTTTACTAAAAATATCCATGACAAAATCTTAGCCTTGCCTATATGTACAGCAGTCAGGAGAGCTTATGACCATTCTGGTTTCAGTCAAAGCCAGCAATTCAAAAACATAAGTAACTTTGGTACAATACCTACAGAGACAGGAAAATTATGAGGGTAGATTTTTAAAATACTCAAGACAGTTTTGAACCGTCTGTGACCTATTTTATTATTGAACAGAAAGCGACAAAATCTAATTATTCAGACTCAGGATGGACAATTTTGCATACATTATAAGACTGGATACCATCAAATAAAAGAAACAGGGAGGTGCATTCACAAAAGACATTACTGTTAGTAATACACATTCCCAGGAGGTGAGAGTTAAGTTCAGAGTGCACATACAGCAAAACTAAACAAGGCACAATACGGTGCTGTATATACATTAACAGCACCCTCACCCAGCCAGACACACTGTACTTTGCCTGCATGCAGAGAGGACAATTCAACCTCCAAGAGGATTTTAAGGCTTTATGCTTAGTGATTTTCTTGCACTAGTACAGGAATCATTTGCCTTGTAAATTACACAGAGTGGGAAGGTTGCAGCTTTATCTCACATGTGCCAACAGGAAATAGACTGGCAAGGTGAACAGAGAAGTGGTCTCAGCTAAAATAAACTACTAATATTTAATGGGGATTTTGCAGTCTTTTCCAAGACAAAATTTATGACAACTGTCAAAAGCAAAATAAAACAATTGCAGGAAAAGGAGAGGCACAGATCAACATCATGACCTGTCTTAAACAGATCTCTGTTTCCCATTCCAGACATAAATTGAAAAATGTACAAAGAAAATTCGTAATAAAACACAAGACCTAGACACTCCTGGCAACCAGATCGACAAAAGAGTCATTACTTCGCTCCAAGGTCCTATCATTATTTGTGTGAATACAAGAGGTTGTATTGTCCAGGTGAACTCAAAACAAAAAAAGTCAAGGTTAGAGGGAAACAGACAGCGACAGACCCTATTTCCATTTTGGGAAGAAGGTTGGGATTTGGAAGTAAAGCCACTGTTGCGAAGACCAAGGTCACAGTAGTAGGAACCCTGTTTCAACAGGAAGAAAAACCTGAGAACTCTGCTTAATGTGAAAGAATTGTCGAATTCTGTATTAATTCTTTTAAATTAGGACAGTGGTTCTCAAACTTCGTTGCACCGGGACCCTCTTCTGACAACAAAAATTACTACACGACCCCAGGAGTGGAGAACGAAGCCTGAGCCTGCCCAAGCCCTGCTGCCCTGGGCGGGGGGCCAACGCTGAAAGGCTTTAGTCTTGGGCCAGGGGTGGGAGGGGGGGGAGGAGGGCTGTAACCTGAGCCCTACCACCCAGGGCTGAAGCCCTCAGCTTTCGGCTTCAGACCCGGGCAGCGGGGTTGGCCTTTGGCTTCGGCCCCGGGAGTTAAGCTGACCTAACCCCCAGAGTAGACTGCACTTTGTGGACAGAAAAATCTTTCAATTGACCTAGCTACCATCTCTCACGGAGGTGGAGTACCTACACCAATAGGTGACCCCTCCCATTGGCACAGGTAGCATCAACACTGAAGCACTACAGCAGTGCAGCTGTGGCGTTTCAAGTATAGACAAGCCCTCAGGCACATAAGCAATTAGACACTTGAAAATTTGACCTCACGTGAAAGAACACATTACTCTCATCCACTATATCCTCCAGTTTAATGCTTAAAAGCTCTGAAGCCTAGCCAAAAATCTATGAATACCATTTGTCACCTTGTCTTGTCCTTGTGCAGAGGAATTACCAATGTATACAAAACAGCAGAGGCACCTCTCATTTAGCTATCATAAATAGATCGTATTTCAGATTCTTAGAACAAATTTCAGTAACAAACAAGCTGCACTATTTTGTGCATCACTGATCGAAATCTGCCAGCAACAGGTCTTCCTAGAATTATTTTTCCATAGCTTCAGACTTGGGAGTCAAAGGGGAATGGGGGAGATAAAGGAGAGAAGAGAAGGGATTGCATTCTTCGGCTTGGAATTCTTATGAAGATGAAGGTGAGTTTTTATAAAGACAAAATTATTTGCTTTTTCTGGATTTAGGCTGATTATCAGCACCTCCAACCTTCCCTGCTGAACAGGAGAGACCCTGACAGCCGCAGAATGTAGAATAGAGAACCAAGATAGGCTGCAACAAACCAGATTTAACAAAAGGCCTGTTCCCACTCAGTTAAACAAGAAACCTAGTAAAACTAGGAAGTAAAAACCTGCCAAACTCTAACCCCAAAGAGTTATTTGGAAGGCGGGGTGCTCTACAATATAGAGCAAAAAATACAGGGTGTCAAAAGACCACCTGAGTGGTCTGGGGAGCATCCAGAGTGTGAGAAGCCAAGCCTTTTTCCTGATATGCCATAGCTAACAGAAGCAGGGAACAACCCACTGTCAGATAAGGTGCGACAATGAGAAGCACAAAAAAAAAGTGCAGGCCTAGGCCACTCAAATGAAGTATCTTCCGTTGTGTCATTCCAGCAGCTTCAATTCCAGTAGCTAGCTTGCATCTGTTTAGTTCTGCATCTGGCTGGCCCAACTAGTTAGATGGGGAGATTTTAATGTAATTTCTAGGCAGACACGGGGAAAAATACCAACAGCCAACTTTAAAGTAGGCTATGGATGAAGGATCTCTGTGATACTGACAAAAGCTGTAGGAAACTCTAGTAAAGACTTGCAAGAGATGAAGTGAGACTCACTCCAAACACTCAAATGTTGTTTTATATCTTTTAGGCAGCTTTTGAGGTGGAGTGACCCTCTGGTAGAGCACAAGGGTTTATCTGCAGCAGTCTGTGGTGTCTTTTATAAATATCTGGGGATAGGGCAGGCAAATAAGGCATGCCAGGTCCAGGCCTTCAAGTAGTGGAAAGGCAGTTTACAACACTTAATAGGACTATTAGTTTCCCAAAAGCTTTAGGAAAAATGAGATGTATTATATACTTGTACTGTAGCATACAGTAACATACAATATTATGGTTAAGTCATGTTAAGAATTAAACGGCTTGGTGCTTTGCATGCACAAACAACACATTTGCAAATTAAAACCTGTTCTCTGTTTTAAACATACGGGTAGGATGTAAATCTGTATGGTTCTAAGGGAGATACAGGTACATCTTATGAAGAAGCTAATGGATCCAAGCAAGTGCAGTCACTATGAAGACTTCTTGCAGATCTATCTTTCTTGTTTCCACACAATATGACTAACTGTGTGTGAAGTTACAACCAGTTGCCAGGAGCAATCCAAAAGGGGAAAGGTGGTAAAAATCCTGCACAGAGGAATAGATGCAACCTCCATAATTCACCAGAATTCCATAGGCCACTTACAAACAAGGGTGACAATACAGTTGCTTACCCAACAGGCTGTTTACTTAAGGTGACAGTTCTGTATGCATACAAAACCACTGCAACTAGTCTCATAGTAAAGAGTGAATTTGTAGTGACCCCTTCAAAGCAAGTCTCAAAAATGAGACACAGGTATGATCAAAAGAGAGGATGTTTGTTCCTAGAAAACTATCCCGTTTTTTCTTCTCTTCCCTACCCCAAAGGTCTTGTGTTACAACCCCCTTCCTCCTCATGATACTTCAGTCAAGATATATGGTGCTCTATTCTCAGTAATAATCACTTTTCAGTGATATCCATCTTTAAAGCTTCCTCACAAACCTTCACTAATCCTCACACTGTCACTATGAGATAGGTAAATATTACTCCCATTTTACAAAGGAGGAAGCTGAAGTTATGTGACTTGTTCAATGTCAGAGGTAGTGTGACATGAAGAGGACATATGCTTTATTTTCAATATTGTTTAGACCTCTGACATTGGAGAATATAGGCAGCTCGATGGATAAATCACTAGATATGGAGATGTCTGTATCATTGGATAAATCTTTATCCTATAGAAAAAGCTTAAATCCATCTCTGCCCAATTTAACTACAATTCTTCTGATAAGATAGCTAAAAAGGTTTTCATGAGACAGGGTTTGGGAGTTCTCAGCTGACCTTAGTTATAGCTGGGAAACAAATTACTTTCATACCCATTGAGATTTCAAAATCAGCACATCTAGTGATATCACAATAGCTATGGTCCATGTTTAAATGGTTCACCGTTTTGTGATGCTCTGATGTGATCTCAAGGTATGAAATTAAATATCACTACAACTCTATACCACATATTACATGTTGCAATTAAAAATGTGATTTTAGAAATATAGTTGTAATATTGGCATACTTATTACATTAAGCAAAGAACTTCTGCCTGTTCTAGATTATTCCTTTATCCTACTGCTTTCCTGTTTGCCACCTTTACTCCTCCCCCGCAAATAATTATGCTGCTGCAAGCTGAATGCTAGCAAGACAGACGGAGTAATGTTGGAGGTGCAGTTTATTATGCTCTATAAAGACAGCTCAACTAGGTTACTGTTCCCCTAAACCTTACTCTCCCTTCAAATAGTGATTAAACTGAATTACTGTTAGTAATGAAGACATCAAGGAGTGAATAACGGGATTGTAATCATGCGCTACATAAAAAACTCCATGCTACAAACCCTGCAGTTTCCACAGAAGTCATTTAAATATTTAAATAGAAACCAACCGACTTCTCCTCCCTGGATGACTTCTTTGTAGATTTTCTGCTCTCCCCGCTGTAGTTGGAGCTCTAGAGTATGTCATTAAAGAACAAGAACATCATTTATCAGAGATGCTGGCACAAGTCAAAAGAGCAACAAGTCCTCTGAAAAGACTGTACAATGTTTCCTTTTGTCAAACAGTTCAGCAAGATTGGCAATATTTAAACTTCTTAAACTATGTAGACAACAAAAAATATCCTTGTTCATGTTGTCTTTTTGTTGCAATTTCAGCTAATTACTGCAAATTTAAGGCAGGCATAATGTACACAGCTACAATTTATCGCAACTACAGTATATCTTCAATTTTATGTTTTTTCCATTGAGACTTGCTGCATATCTCCACATAGCTCGTTGTCTTAAGTTATGATCACTGTATGCCTCCTTATGCATATAATGGGTGTAGCTACATGAAGTCTACTGCACTTGCTCATTTCTAGGGTGACCAGATGAGAGGAAGAAAATATCGGGACACATGGGGGGGGGGGGAAGACAACTACTGCCGGGGGAGGGGGAAAAAGAAAAAAAAAAGGCCGAGTGCTGCCAAATAAGTCCACGGGCCGCATGTTTGAGACCCCTGGTCTAGAGCACTTGTTCTGAAACTGCAATCCACTGAACACAAGTGATCCATACATGGACAAAGTGGCTTAATTAATGGTTAAATTAATTTTTTCTGACTTAATTGTGCAGCCGTACTGTTTAACAGTTTTTCTACTTTTAATAAGCAATAGCATATTCACAGGGCTATAATGTAGCTGTGGCGACGCACAGAATGGACTTCCATCTCAAATGGTCCCTTGCAAGACTTTGTCCTTCATGAAGAATCAGTATGGGAGGTTAGGCTTCTTAAATCCCTGAAAATTGCATCTTCCAACCTCTTTTGTGGCTGACCTGATGCTTCCTTCAACCTCAGCTCTGTAAACCTTCCGTAGAAGTGTACCTTCTGCACGTTGGACATGACCCCACCATTATAGTCATCTTGTTCTCGGCTGGTACAAGACTGCAACTTGCTGGGATCATCTAAGTATTATCCTCATTTTTGACAGAATCAAACCAAGGGATGTTAAGCATACACTAACTTTTGACACTGAAGAGTGTTTAGATCTCTCCTCAGCTGTTTTAATGGCTATGTTTCTGCTCCATCTAACAGGGTTATCACCATCACATTGAATCACACCTCGTATCTTAGTTGTCACACTATGTGTGTGAAACAACATTTACAAATACTTTAGTAATACTGTTTGATATGTTGTTTAAAACTCTATGGAAAGTTCAGACATTTGCTTGTATGCAAAACTGTTGTCTTATGGTTGTATTTATGAAAAACACCATCTTCAGATAGAGATCAATAGAATAAATCCCTTTTAGGTGTTCACAATTTAACAAATGAACTAATCTTTCTATGTTAGGCTCAGGGTTTTAAAAATGTTTACATTGGGGAAACTTATAAAAGTGAATTGATTGTACAGATTCAGTTAGATATTTCATGCCCACATTCCAATGGCAATCAAATCTCTATAAAGGATGCATGAAAGAGCACCAGAGCCACAAATCCAAGCTAGATTTCCACTGTCAAAAATATTTTTCTCCATAACTTGACTTTTTTTTTACCCAATTAGTTTCCAAAGAACTATATTCTGGCCCCCAAATCCTAATTGAATTTTCTCAGGCCCAGTCTTTTTCCTTCCCACTCACGGCCTCTTAGAATCATAAAATCATAGAAGATTAGGGTTGGAAGAGACCTCAGAAGATCATCTAGTCCACCCCCCTGCTCTAGGCAGGACCAACCCCAACTAAATCATCCCAGCCAAGCCTTTGTCAAGCTGGGCCTTAAAAACCTCTGAGGATGGAGATTCCACCACCTCCCGAGGTAACCCATTCCAGAGCTTCACCACCCTCCTAGTGAAATAGTTTTCCCTAATATCTAACCTAGACCTCCCCCACAGCAACTTGCAACCACTGCTCCTTGTTCTGTTATCTGCCACCACTGAGAACAGCCAGCTCCATCCTCTTTGGAACACCCCACTTCCGGTAGTTAAAGGCTGCTATCAAATCCCCCCTCACTCTTCTCTTCTGCAAACTAAATAAGTCCCTCAGCCTCTCCTCATAAGTCATGTGCCCCAGCCCCCTAATCATTTTCTTTGCCCTCCGCTGGACTCTTTCCAATTTGTCCACATCCCTTCTGTAGTGGGGGCCCAAAAATGGCTGCAATACTCCAGATGTGGCCTCACCAGGGCCGAATAAAGGGGAATAATCACTTCGCTCGATCTGCTGGCAATGCTCCTACTAATGCAGCCCAATATGCCGTTAGCCTTCTTGGCAACAAGGGCACACTGTTGACTCATATCCAGCTTCTTGTCCACTGTAATCCTCAGGTCCTTTTCTGCAGAAGTGCTACTTAGCTAGTTGGTCCCCAGCCTGTAGCAGTACATGGGATTCTTCCATCCTAAGTGCAGGACTCCGCACTTTTCCATGTTGAACCTCATCAGATTTCTTTTGGCCCAATCCTCCAATTTGTCTAGGTCACTCTGGACCCTATCCCTACCCTCCAGAGTATCTACCCCTTCCCCCAGCTTAGTGTTATCCGCGATCTTGCCGAGGGTGCAATCCATCGCATCATCCAGATCATTAATGAAGATGTTCAACAAAACCAGCTCCAGGACTCACCCCTGGGGCACTCTGCTTGATATCGGCTGCCAACTAGACATTGAGCCGTTGAGCACTACCCATTGAGCCTGACGATCTAGCCAGCTTTCTATCCACCTTATAGTCCATTCATCCAATTCATACTTTTTTAACTTGCTGGCAAGAATACAGTGGGAGACCGAATCAAAAGCTTTGCTAAAATCAAGGTATATCACGTCCACCGCTTTCCCCATATCCACAGAGCCAGCTATCTCATCATAGAAAGCAATCAGGTTGGTTAGGCATGACTTGCCCTTGGTGAATCTTTTTTGTTTTGTTTTTTTATGACTTGGTAGGACTAGGAGCAGATGCCTAGCGAACTGCACCAGTTGTAATATGGAAGTCCGGGGGAAAATGCCTTCCAAAGCAGGGATCAAAAAAAGAGCATCTGCTATTTTGCTTTAGGAAAAGCCCTCAGTAAAGGAGACGGTTAATTTCTGGAAAAGCTTCCTGTTAATTCCATGAACTTGAGTGACAGATTTTTTAGAAATTCTCTACTAACCCTGCTAGATTTTCTACTCTGGGATGATCCATACATGTCTTCATCATAACCATTGGTCTGTCATGAGAGAAAAATGAGAGGAAAAAAAACTTAAATGAAACCAAAAGAGGTCTCAGGGAAAGTCATCATTTATGCAGAGCTAAGCCATAGATGGTGCTTTTTCCACAAATACACCAGGGACAGTCACTGTGGTTCCCCAGGGACCATTATGACTTCAGACAGCTCATCGAACACTTGACAGTTTTGTCTGCCAGCAATACCTGTAACCCAGCGAAAGATATCCCTGTTTTCACCTCAAATTTTCGTAAAAACAGTACAGCAGCAGAATGTATTTAAAGTCTCAGTCTTTACAGACTCCTTGGGAAATGAAAAGGGATGATTTCACTTCAGTCTACTGAAGGGAAAGGGAAAATAATTTCCTTGCTTACCTAAGCTCTTCATTTCACATTGGTATTGAAGATTAAATACACTAATGTAGCTTTCTAAACACAAATTATACTGCACAACATCTCTTGCATTTGGTTTCCCTCATTTTTATTTACCTCATGCATCTATCCAGACATGACCATCTGCCATATCCCAGGATTTTGCACAGCCCTTCAGATATTGGAAGACCAGAATCTGCCCCAAACCTCCTGGATTCACCTCTCTCTATGCTCAAACATCACACCTCTCAGCAATCTCCCCTCTTGACATGGATATGGTTCTCTTCAGGACCCAAACGTTAGTCCACTATGTCGTAGAACACAGGACTAGTCCTATTTTTAATACGCAGACACCATGAAATGTGTACTGTCATCTGCTAGCCAAGATCACCTGTGCTAACGGCCATTAAAATCGCAGTGTCCCTGATAGTTCTACTACTTGCAAAGCATTATGAGGCCCTATTATAATAGCTAGAAAACTAACAATCCCTAAAAAAAAAATTGCAGTAGTGTTGTAGTCATGTTGGTCACAGATGAGAGAAACAGAAGGTAGGTGAGAATATATTTTATTGGACCTACTTCTGGTGGTTGAAGGTAGCTTTTGAGCTACACAGAGCTCAAAAAGCCCAGACCTGAAGAGCTCTCTGTAGCTCAAAAGCTTGTACCTTCCACCAACAGAAGTTGGTCCAATAAAAAGTTATGGTACCTCACCCACCTTGTCTCTCTCAATCCCTAAAATTGTTATTGATAGGTTTTACTTCTATTACAAATATTCTCTATGTATTTTTAATGCATCACTAAAAGGAACATCAGACAAACCAATCTGAATCTGTTTTCAAACAAAATGCAACTGCATACTGACTGAAGATTTGTATGCCAAATTACAGACTGAAGCAAATTAAAATGATAAATCCCCTCAAAAACAGAATTGGTAATAAAAGCCTTTAATAAATCTATGCCAATATGCACCAGTTCCTAAACATTTGCATTCATCTAGCAGGATTAACAATGATTGAATTTCTAATCACAAACTACACATTTCAAACAGTCCCCTGGCAACATATATGTTGCATATTCTCTCCAATAAATGTATGTGAAAAAAACTGAAAATGCTTCTTTCAAAGTACAACGAAATGTAACAAAAGAAACTCACTTTTAATCAGACTATCTTCTATATCAGTATAGAAATAAAAATCCATTAGTTAACACTAGTGCTGTTAATAGTTAATTGAATTTATACAGTACAGTGGACTAAGATATTACTGTAGCAATTGGTGAGGCTATTTTATTTTTTGAGTCATCATGGATTTCCTAGAAAACATGATCATTTGCTGTGAACAAAATCTTTGAAGTGTTCCAGCTTTCTATTGGCCTTTCTACTTGTGTATGCACAGAGAAAAACCTGATTAACGTGGATGTGACTAGGGTCTTCATACTAAACAGACTTATGCACATGCTTAACTTTAGACTGCATTACGAGAGATTAACAATATCCTGTAAATTTGTGAACAAACCATATGGAATTACGATAAACTTTGTTGAATTAAATTAAACTTTACTGAATTAGGGTTAATATCTTGTGGTATGCTGTATTAAAATGCAATTGTGTACATGTTGTGGCACTGTATGTACTCTCTCTAGTAGGGACAGGGATGCTAATGAATTTCTTCCTTTATCAACCTTAGAAGCCATCCCTCTGGGGAGATGCGCATGTACTAGTTCAAACTGGATTTGCCAGGGACCAACAGAGCAAGAAACGATTTTTGGATAAATAGTCTGGTTTTAAAGTGATCCAGGGCCTTCTTCCTGATGCAGCAAATGGACAGGACCTCTGGTCCATGGAGGGTCACAATCCTTAGGGAAGGATTGGAAGGACTTGGCCTACTGAGAACTCATAAGACCACGTGCCTGTTCTGATCTGAAGCTGTAATGAACTTGTAACCACAATGACTCCCCAGGTGTCCTGATTTTATAGGGACAGTCCCGATGTATAGAACTTTGTCTTATATAGGCGTCTATTACCCCCCAACCCCTGTCCCGATTTTTCACACTTGCTATCTGGTCACCCTACCTAGAGTGGAGGGTTGAGGGACTCCTGCCAGAATCCATGGTAGGGTTGGGACTCTGGTAAGCTTATAAACATCCATGTAAAGTTCTTTTGTTTGTAAAATATTTTCTCTGTAGTGCTTTTACCTTAAGAATAAAGTAGGCTTGCTTAGAAAGAACTGTGTGGTTATTTATATCTGTAGCAGTCACTCTTATCGGTCTCTAAAGAGACAGCAAACAGGTCTGTTTAGGCACCGTGGGAAATACACAGTGAAGGCAGGGAACTCAGCAGCCTGTGAATACCCTGATCAGAAAGGAGAGACATACAGCTCTCCACCCAGAAAGGCAACAGCTGGGGAGCTGAAACATGAGAGTTGGTGCGCTTGCTGAACCACTGAGGGGAAATGCAGGGACAGTTGCCCTGAACTGTTGCATTCATCATGAGAGTTACTATGAACAAAGTTGTGGCAGACAGACAAAATGAGTAAATATTTGTCACATTTCCACCTCCAGAGTATTTACTGTATTATTTGGCAACATATTTTGTACTAAATGCAATATTCCAATTGATGACAAAAGGAAGTCTACATGTAGGTGCCCTATAGAAGTTACATAAAGATTGATTTTGCAATAACCTTCTCTAGGAAAAAAAAAAACAGGTGATTGAAATGTCTTTGGCATGAAATCAATGCAGCAGGAAAAGTAGTCCCTAGTTTGGTGCAGGCATTTACATCTGATAACCTCCTCCCCAATTTGCAAACATTGCTTAAATTACACTTAAAAGTTTCCCATTACATTAAGCAAAACCAAGTCTGCATTCCTGGAAGCAATCAAACTCCTTTTCCTTAGTAAAAGTTTCAGAAGTCAGTTCTGTGGATGTTTATGGGGGACTCTGTTTTTTTAAACACAGACTACTCTGAGATTTGAACATTTTCCAGTGTAAAGCTCCAATGTGTTAAAAAATAGCCTGTAAAAATTGTTTTATTTAATGAAGCAGTCCTAGAATATTAAAGCATTGTTCAATTATTAGCTACTTACATGTGCTTGTTAATTGAATGTAGACCCATTACATTTACTGGTTTGCTACTTTAAATGACGTTCTCCCTCCTCCTGCCTCATGGAAAAAACCACAACCTTAGTTACCAGTCACACTAGCCGCTACCATCTTTTCCCTACATCTTTCTACTAACTAATGTAATATATGAAGATACAGAGTATCTTGAAAAAAACCCTCTGAGCAGTACTGCTGTATAATCATTTGGGCTGAACTGCATTTTGTAATAAGCAACTGATACCTAGTGCCTTTTATGCACCCACAACCACAAAGAGCTACAATAGATTCTTGGCATTAGGCTGATTTCTCAGTATAAATGAAAACTATTTGGCCCAATCTGGCCATAACCCTATGGCCAACATTTTTGCAAGTTCTTTCCAGCCCCATCATAACCCTCTCAGAGGAAAATAATCTCTAAATACATACTGCTTTGGAGTTCTTCTTTTTGGTCCTCTCATTCTCTAATCCAGCCTGTAGTCAGAGTAAGAATACCCAGTGAAAAGATCAATGAATTCTTGTATTTCTATCTTCCCCCTGTCCTACATGCAGATCTACATGCAAAAACCAAGTCTTGTATTCCTACAAATCTACAGAGCATGCTTCAATGTACACACTCAGTGAGGATATAGAAAACAGAATCACACCAGATTCAAATTACTAGTTTATGATTTAAAATGATTAAAGAATGATAATCATGCAGCTAACATTAATAGCTGCAGTTAAAACCATTCATGCCTGCTGGATTAAATCAATGAATAGACCCTTCTGCCATATATACATACTACACTAATAGATCCATGCAAAAACTTAGCATAGTAAGTGTTAGAACTGTATCTGAATATAGGCCACTGACCAAGGAAATAGAATATATTGGGTGAACAAATTCTTAATTTGAAATAGGGGTAGGGAATGCAGAAAAGGAGCGAAAAATACAGCCTTCAATGAAATTGGCCACAAGAGCTTGTTTTCAAGTTCTGATGTGGAGGCCTGAAGCACTGATTCACAACAGACAGCTAGAGGGAGGTAGAAACGATGCTCAGTTCAAATAAAGTGGAACTGCTCTTCATTCAGCAGCTTTTAAAAAAGATCTTCTTGTACTTTGCCTTTTATGGAGGCACAGCAAGACCCTATGCTCTGTCACAACAGAGTCACAAGGGAGTAGTATTAACATTGTCATGTGATCTAAATCCAGATTTAAGGATCCCAATCTTACGGTCCTTTTTTATTTTTATTTTTAACACATACTGTTACTATGAATGTTGATTTTATCTTCACAAGCAAAGATAAGGCTATTCAGACATGGTATATACTGTACTGCAGATTTATTCATCTTCTGTTTCCCAGAACAGATCTACTTGAAATGAGTTATGTAAGATAAAAGGTGCTTGAAATACACGAGAAATTAAAGTTGTATATAATATTCAACTCTAATAGGTAACAGCTTTTCTACCTAGATTTTAGTGATTTCCAAGACAGCTCTTTGTACAATGGGGAAAATGTCCAAGAGGTACTCCTGGGGGAATTTTGCGTCACTGCGCGTGTGCAGAATTCATGTCCCCCGCAATAGCTTTGCTTCCCTGCAGAAAAATGACTGACAGGTAAGCAAAGGGAAGCTGCAAGAGCAGTCACGCACCACTCCCTAGCTGCACAGGTACATTGTTTCAGCACCCAGAACAGTCGGCGGAGAGGTAAATCACCGCAGGGCTGGGGACACCCCAGCCAGTGACTCCTACCCTGAGCCGGGATCAGATGCTAGTCCCAGCTGGGCTGGAGGCAGGAGAGGATGGGACTTTCTTTTCCCCTACAAGGAGTGGCTGGGGCTGTGTCAGACCCACCCTCAGAAACCTCCCCCTGCTGCAGGAAGCTCAGCATCCTCCCTTGGTTCCTGCCCCCATCACTCCTCAGCTATGGGGGAGGAATCACTAGACAGGGATCTGCTCCCCATCTGCCCAACCTCCATGCATCCTAATCTCCCATACCCAGACACCCCTGCCAAGCCTCACCCCGTACACCCAGAACCCCCCCCTCGCCCTCCATACCCAAACCCCATCTCCTTGAACCTCAACCTCTGCATCTGAAGCCCCCTGTACCCAGGCCCCCTGCCTCAGGACCCCCACCCTTGCACCCAGACCACTCCCACTGAACTCCCTGCATTCAAGCCTGAGCCCTCACATCCAGACCCCCACACCACTGACTCCCAACTAGCTGCACCCAGACCCCCAGGCCCCACTCCCCCAGCAACCAGACCTCCCCAACCACTTTCACCTGGAAGTCCCTGCAGTGTCCCATTGCCCCTGCACCTGGAACCCCTCCAATGAGCCTCTGTGCATCCAGATCCCCCCACACCTAGACCCCCCACTGAGCTGCCTGCACCCAGATTGTCCCACACAGAATCCTCTCACCCCACACTTGGATCCTCCCATACTGAGCCCCTCCACACTTGGATCTTGCCTGGTTCAGCCTGCCCACCCACACTTGGTGCAGAAGGGCAGGGCCCCAGAGTGTTTCTGGGGCAGGCCCAGGCCTTGTGCTGTGTCAGGGTCGGGTGCAGCCTCACCACGGATTCCATGCCCCGGGGGTGGGGAGGCTGCAGGGTGATCTCCCACCTTCGTGTAGCCAATGGCCTGTGCTCTGCACTGCCATGCTGGAGCCTCTGCATTTATTTGTTGACAAATAAAACTTGCAGAATTTTAAAATATTGTGCGCAGAATTTTTAGGCGCAGAATGCCCTCAGGAGTAAAGAGGAAAAAGTTTGCTGTTCATGTCTCAATTAAACACACATTTTTAAAATAGTGAGATTTGTATTTGTGAAGGTTACCACACAGAGCACTGGAGAACGAAACCATCTCTCCTCCAAGCAGGTACAATGTAAGTAGTGGCAATGCAAGCGTCTCCACGCAGCCCTGAAGGGACGACACCTTTAGGTGGGAGTTAGTTCATTCTCCATGATTGTTATTCAATCCTTTGCCTTGCTGAGTCTGACAAATGTCACAATGCTAAGTGAAGCCGTGGGATGTGTCTCATTCCTTGCAGTCAGGTATCCACATCAGAGACCATAACACTGCCATCATGATCATTTGCCTTTTTGGGTCTCCTTCTCTACTATTGACCAAATATAGCAATAGGCGTTAGTATTTTTTCCCCACAATTTCTATCACACACTAACTTCAAACCATCCTCACCACTGGATAGGCGCTGGCATACTCCAAGTCAGACTGTCAAGAGCATGAGAGGAAACAAAAACTATCAGAATACAAAAAACCCCAAGATGGCAATCAGGAAGACATAGGTACTGAGGTGTAAAAGTTTAAAATTCCTTGGTTTTGAGCAATGACAGCACCAGTCAGGAACTTCAGCAACCATCAACCAGAGTAACGAGAGAAACAGAGACAAGTCCTTGTACACTGCATCACTATTGCGCAATAACACAACAATATTTCATCTTGTGGGATCTTGGATGTGGGACTTGGCCCATTGTGAAATTATTAGGAAAAACTGAAGAGAATTTGCAGTGGAAGAAGACTGAAACCAGGGTCATATGTCTTAAAAAAAACCAGAAGATGATATTTTAAGTTTTTCTGCAACAAAAATCACTTAAGGGTAAAGCAAGCCTATGGGCTTCCAGAATGATAAGGTAGGATCCTCGGGCAGTTTTCATCAGTCTCAGAACAAACCACAGTAAAACATTCTTAGAGGAGAACATTCCAGGCGAAAACTCTGTGAGAAAGAAACTGCTGATTTGGAGGACTGGAAGGTTTCACATGGTAATAATTGTTCAGACATTGCTCCACTGTTTGGAAACTTCCTGTCCAAAAGAGAAAGAACCAACCGTCCAAGAGAAAATTTGTAAATTCTACACATCTTGTATGGTGTTCCATGAGTGCCCATACAGATATTTCAAGGAACTTTCACAGGAAGCAAAACAGCTTCTTTTCATGAGAAATTAAAAAATCTCTTTAACACCAAATCCAAATATGAAGATTTCCATAATACAAAATCCAAATATGAAGATTTCTATAACAAGTAAACTTTGAAACAAAAGGTTTTCAAACAAATTCCACCTTTACTTACTGACAAAGACCAGAGTTCAGATTTCTCTGTGAATCTGATCTAGTTTTACAAACTCTTAAATAGAGACAAGATATAGTTTCCTTGTTTCTAAAGTGTTCTTTATGTTAACTAGGCTTAGCAAAAGAAGCAGAGAACCCTGAACTCAGATCCTAGGAGCTCAGGTTTTCGTTTCACTTTTATACATACATAAAAAGCCAAACCAAAGACCCCTGAAAGAAGTCAACAGAAGCATAACTAAATGTCTACACAAACCACTTAAAGCATATTCACAATTCTATCTTGTTAAGCAGTTGTGAGCCATGTATCAATGCTAAGAACATAATTAGTTGTATTTTGCTTCTATGTGAATAAAATCATGTGCATTAAACCAAGTCTATTAAGGGACAGACTTTGGTTCAGACTAATGAGCTAATATATCTACATCCTGCTTTCCTTGGCCTGAAGTCACAATTGCCCCAGGGTCAAGGCAGGAAATCTCAAGGGTTTCCTCATTCTTCAAGTCTTAAAATTTAGGGGTCAAACCTCCCTCGGTGTGTGTAAAACTCAAATATTTGGATTTATGATCATTCATTGAGGAAGGCTCCCCTTTTAACAGTAATACAGGAAATTAGGTGCAATACATTAGGGATATTATGGCATAAAGTTTCTTCCACAAGACTCCATTAGACAAAGTTTTCTATCAAACAAGGACATTACTCACAAACTTCACTAGTAAATATTTATGAGCTAGATCTTCAGCTGCTGCTAGTCACTGACTAAAGATCTGGCTCTTCAAACTGAAAGACTGTATGGTTAGTAGCATGGGAATCCTGTTGGATATTAGGGATGCTTACTTACACTCCAGAGAGATTAGAAATCAGACATTTCTTTTGGGTGAGGAAATGCAGCCTGTTTAGTGAAATGCAAATTTTAATCAGAATAAAGTATATTAAGGTCTAATAGGGACCCTTATTCATGAGGATTATGGAGAGGGTATTTCAGTCATTAAATTTCCTTGCAGGCCATGAAAATACACTTATAGTCAGGACTGGATAAGCAGTTTAATTGAAAATTGCCCAGAACAAACTAAACTGAAACCTCAAGTGCTCTAGGAATGAAAGCATTTTTTCCTAAGTCAGTTCCATGAACAATTTTATTAAAGTTTAATTCAACTAAAATCTTAAAAAATGCATTTTAACGTTCATATTTCTTAACCTTTTCCTCATCATTGAGGAAAACCCATCGATTATTGCTTTCTTGTTAGCGAAATAAAGAATTCAAGGTCACAAAGGTATCAAGCACATTCTAGTTATACTGTTTGGGCAAATTAAATTAATCCCCAATTCCAGGAGGTGGGAATGTTACAGTAAAACCAATGCCATATAATGAATAGTATATAGATGTCACACAAAAAGGGAATGAGACACTCATAGTACAAGATATACTGTATGTCCACCAGAAGATGGAAATTTAATTAGCAATAACTCATTTAATTTGTTTCCCCAGTGGTATTTTAGGTCTTTTACATATAAATATAAAACTATTTAGGGGAAAATAAGACCATTCCATTCAATAGTTTCTTGGGGGATATTCCTTCAGAAAGAAAAAAAATATATTAACTCTTAGTTGGCTAGTTAATTACAAGATCTTCTAAGAGCTGCATGAAACCTCCCTGCAAATGGTAAAAGCTAGCATTAAGGATGTGGATCATTCTTTAAAATATATAATCTTAATTTGTCTGATATATATCAGGGGTTCTCAACCTTTTTTCCCCTGAGGCTCCCCCGCAACATGCTATAAAAACTCCACAGCTCCCCTGTACCACAACTGTTTTTTCTCTGGCGTTAAGGGGTAAGAAGCAGGGCAATTGCCTGGGGCCCAACGTCACAAGTTGCTCAGGCTTTGGCTTCAGCTCCGGGTGGTGGGGCTTGCGGCCCCAGGCTGCAGTCCTGCATGACGGGGCTTCAGCTTTCTGCCCTGGGCCCTAGCGAGTCTAACGCCAGCCATGCTTGGCAGACTCCCTGAAACTTGCTCGTGGGCCCCCAGGCCCCTGGTTGAGAACCACTGATCTATATCAATCTTAAAGAGGTAAACTAATGCTATCGTTAACTGCATTAAAACTCTTGTCTGCATTAGAAAACAATTATTCCTAATGGAACCAGAAGAACAGAACTGGTTTAGGCACAAATACTTCTATGTGCCCACTCTAGCCATGCTAATTCATGTTCCAAACTGTTGCAGTATTGCCCTACGTCAGTACCAGTACTGCTCGAGACCATTTCAATTGCATGGCCTCTGAGCACCCATCCCACAGGCTCCAGAATTTTAAGCGTTTTCAAAAGACAATCAGTGCACCACAGGACAGTAGCAGGACTGTCTCAACCATGTGCGCTATGATGAGAGCTAATTTGGGCCACACTGGAATTAAAATGGTGCACGCTGGAATGGTACAGAGTGGAGCAGTTTGATGTACCTACATATATACTGGTTGCACCTATTTTGTACATGACAAAGTGTTTTTCAGATGTCCTAGGAAGATGTTACTGTTCTTAAGTGGTGAATTTATCTCATCTAGAATAGACCTATGTGAGCTCCTGTGCTCACTACACATGCACAGGTGATCCTTCCTTAGTGCCCAGGGTCATTTCTGGGAGGAGACAGACTCCAACATCTCAATAATGCCAGCTTTGAGGAAGAAGTCACCTGGATCCCCAAGCTATTTAAAAAGACCAGCTAAGAACAGTATTAATACTGGTTCACAGTAACAATGAACAGATGTGCTTTCCATCAGGTGATTTACATTTAGTTTCTAAACTGTGACCCCTCACCCCCCAACACCCAACCGAGTGAATGCTGCATCATTTCTCAGATTGCTCCATATGGTCACTAACACTGGAACAGCTTAAAAAGATCCATGCAAGAGGAAATTCTGTAGACCCACATCTTGACTAAATACCTCCCCCAGTGATTAGTGAAGAGAGTATTCGGCAGGAAAAAAAATCTCTACTGAATGTAATGCTTTACTTATATTAATGTTTACAATTTAATGTCTATGAAACTGACACACCTATACAGTTCTCCTTGGATGAAGGAACTGTTGGCTTCAATGTAGGCCTCAAGTATAAGGCTACAATGTAGAAAACTGGGAGGTTTGGGAGACAGGAAATTATCAGAGCTCTTTCTGGAAAGGGTGCAGAGGAACTTGTTGCAAGATGTGGGAGAACAGCAACATCAATAAAAAAAATTCATGCACTTAATTGTACAAGTTACTAACCCTCAGGCTTCCACGGCTACCCACTGACATGCGCTCATCTTCATCTGAAGCCTATTGAAGAGAAAGTGTAGGAGACAAGAAACAATTAAAAGAATACAGATAACAAGCAATGAAACAAGTAACGATAGAGTCAATGAAACAGAAGCCAGAGGGAGGAAAAGTTTTGGTGCTAAACTCCTTAAGAAAAGGCTTGCCCAGTACATGTATTTCATTTATATTAGATGACAAATATGAGAGTAAATATAACAGAGCCACGTCAAACACTGTATTGCCTGAAAATGGTCCAAAGGAAGTTCTAAAGCATTCCCCTACAGGCTGACCAGGTTAGGAGCTTGTACAACTCCTCTTTGTGCCATGCCTGGCTCATGCAAAACAAACAGGTTCATTGTTCTCTTGTGCAAAACAGTTGGATTTTAATTTGCAAAAACTCCCCAGAATTCTTTGCAGAGAGGCATGAAGTGTTGCAACAAATTAACAGTAAATACATTTGTTTTTAAAAGACACACTGCCAGTGTGCTGGAAGTGACGTATGTAAATACGTATGAAGAAGGCACAAAAGAAAATACTAACCGAGGCATTTCTTCTGGATCTACGAGAATAACGCTCACTGTCTTCCTATCAAAGCAGCAGAGAAAATAAGAGGGAAATGTTGAAAGGACAGAAATAGTAAAACAAAGCCTTCAGTAAGAAAAAAATGAAACCTCAGCAGTGTTGAGAAGGAAGCTGGATTTAGTAAGGTTTAATCTGATAATGACAGCTGATGCACTATGGCAACTGAGGAAAAGAATTAAAACTTGCTATTTCCCTATAGCTGTCCTCCTTCCTTCATCCCAGCCCATTCGTCACTACTATACATTTCTAAAATACAATGGCAAATTATAGGCATTGTTTTCTTTATTTGTACCTAGTTTAGTTGTAGCCATGTTGGTCCCAGGATATGAGCGTGACAAGGTAGGTGAGGTAATATCTTTTAGTTGGACCAACTTCTGTTGGTGAAAGAGACAAGCATACGTGTCAACTTACTAATGTGCCGGGGGTTGCTCCCCTCCAGCTCTGTCCCAGGCCCCACCTCTACTCCACCCCTTCCCCAAGACCCCACCCCTGCCCTGCCTCTTCCCACCCCACCCACGCCCTGCCTCTTTCTGCCTCCATTCCCCCTAGCGTCCTGCCTTCCGTGGCGGGCGGGAAGCACTGGGAGGCGCTGATCAGTGGGGCCACTGGGAGGACTGGGGGGAGGGGAGGCACTGACAGGGGGGTTGCTGGTGGGTGCTCTGCACCCACCTTTCCCCCCCCCATGGGTGCTCCAGTCCTGGAGCACCCATGGAGTCGGCGCCTATGGAGACAAGCTTTAGAGCTCCCCAGGAACCCTAAGAAGAGCTCAAAAACTTGTCTTATTCACCAACAGAAGTTTCTGCTTGTCTCTTATTAGTACCTAGACATTCACAGTGCAAACGCACTGATTAAGACAGTTAAATTTACTACCCTAATGGGTCTGAGAGCCTGTAGCTACAGCTCTTTTTAAAAGAAAGCTTTCTAGTCTATATCCCACTCAGAAAGAAGTCTTATTCCATTTGAATGGCATTCTCTACCCTGTAAAAATGAGAAGGCAATCACCTTTTAATGTGGGTTTCACTGAAACACATGACCTTTGCTAACAAGCTAAAAGAATGTGTATCTTACTTCCAATCACTGGGCTATATTATACATATTGCCTTGTATGGGAACTTTGAACACTGACAATGTGGTAGGATGCATTAAATTTCAACAAAATGGTTTTAACACTATTTAGCAATGGCTAAAAAGTGGAATGCAAAATAAACTTGCGTGTTGTACAACTATATTTGCCAGAGGCGAGTTTAAATGTGTTGGTTTTCAATCAAGCTTCAATATTCTGTGGTTAGCGATCTGCCCAATAAAACTAAGCTCTGGATTTGGGCAGCACTAGAGATAGCAAGCTCTCGCTCTCTCTGTGGAGACCATGCAAGGTTTTGAAGTGACAAAGGCTGACTTGTGAGCTCTCAAGGGCGTATCATCAGGTTTGGCAGGTGGGTTTTGCTCACATGCTCATACTGATCACCATTTTGAGGGTGATGAAGGAATTTTCCCCAGGTCAGACAGACAGGGACCTTGGTTTTGTTTTTGCCTCTCTGCAGCATGGGGTAGGGGTCACCTGCTGGGATCCTCTAGATATAACACACTAAATCAATTTGCCAAGGCCTTAGGCATTGGTTCACCTCAGACCCTTCTATTCTCTGCCTGTGGCACTCAATAGTTTAGTCTCCTGAGGGCTGTAATACTTGAATCTAATCCAGGTCAGTAGGTTCAACACAAGGGTAATGGGGGTGGGGTTTAGTGGCCTGTGATGTGCAGGAGACCAGACTAAATGATCTGGTTGTCTCAAACTCAATGAGGAACTTCACCTTGTCTGGATGGTAAGTCACCTTGACAATGGTGGGAGTGTAAACCAAGAAAGTGTGTGTGGGGCTGGGGAGACAGGGGAAAGGGATCATGGTTCCAAGAATCAAGCCAACAACTTCCAAAAACTAACTCATGTTACCAGGTCAGGGGTACCCAAAAAGACCAGCCTGGGAACAACAGCCCTGCCTCCAGTCCCTAACTAATGAATGGCTTTATAAACTAAGGATCAAAGAATAATTTCTTTTTAAAAACTGAAATAAATACATTTGAAACCAAATCTGGTCTGTTTTAGCAACTATTTTAGTTATCAGGAAAAATAACAACTTTTTTCCAAATCTTTAGCTAATTTTTGTGTGTGCTTTTAAATCAAGAAATCCATTTTTAGCAACTATTTCAATCTTATGTTATGACCATCGGACAGTTGGATATTCTTGAGAGGCTAATCTATGTTTCATAGAATCATAGAATATCAGGGTTGGAAGGGACCTCAGGAAGTCATCTTGTCCACCCCCTGCTCAAAGCAGGACCAGTCCCCAATGGCTTACTACATAGTGAAAGCTAGGAAGTTAGATTTCAGAACTGATGGGAGCAGGAGCATCACAAGAGTAATGTAAGAACATTCATGTTGGTGTTTGCCCTTCTAACTATACTGTATAAGGTACAGTTGAAGAGGATCACAGGGTCAACGCAAAGATGCCTGGCTACAACCCACCCAAGGTTTAAGTATTTATTCAACTTAGACATTGAGAACTCAAACTATCACAAAAATTCAGACCAAAAAAAGGTATATCCTATTGCTAATGCCAGCAATAGTTGTAATGTGTTTTAATTCCAATAAACAGTTTGGGAACAGAGCTTTGTGAAGCAGAACAGCTTCTATAATCACATCCTATACATTAGACCCTTCAAACTGACTACAAACAAAAACACACGTAAGCAATACTCCAGATGCAGAGTTCAAAACAGTCTTCATAAGATTGGAAATTAATTCTTCAAATATAGCAATATACCTGTCCCACGGAATTTCAAAAACATTGTAAGCTGTACAAGATTTCAAGGTTAAAATTATTTTTAGCTTTGTTGGTCAAGGCCTACCATCCACTGCTCGATGTCACCCCACTTTGTATCCAGACCATAATATTTCTATAGACAGAAAAGGGAAAAACAGAATTTAGAGGAGAAAGAGAAGCATTGAACTTTGAGACATGCATTGCCATGGTTCTGCCGAGCTGTACAGTCCGGCTCTCACACAAACATGCATGCTCAAGGATTAGACAAACATGCCAGTGCAAAGCTGCAAATTGCAGAGCGTGACTCAGCTCCTTCATGCCACTGTGAAAAGCAGCACATGCCTGAGGAAGAAAAGCGTTTTGTGTTGTTTTTAAACCAATCATAAGCAAAGCTGTGGGGAAAGGAGTGAGAAAGGGTGTAATGAGCCTTGGGTTCCCGACCCAGTTCAGTCAAGACTTGTTACAAGGGATCTGAACATAACATTTTCAGGATGAAAAGTTCCAGCAAACCATGGATTTGTATGCTTGGAGGGAAGACAAAGTGATTAACTTAGAGTTAATCTCCATGTACTCTTACGAAAATGAACAATTCTTAAAAGAGCCTTTTCAAAATGTGATCGGCTTTTCCACGACTTCCATCATCATGAAAGTGGTACAACATCATGAATGGCAAGAGGTTACATATTATAAGGAACCTGCAGTACAGTTTAGGATGTGCAGAACCACAAAAGGTGGAGGGTAAGGTCTGGAAAGCCCACACCCACTCAGTACCAAATATCACATATGCATTCCAGGAAAAAAGCCTTCAGTTTCTTGGTTCATATTTTCTTTACATAACTCTGGAGTAACCCTATTGATTCTGTGATTGGATTAGACAAGAAGTGCTTTAGAGTTCAGTAAATTAACAATTTTAGGTTTTTTCTTCCCATATACACACTGTATTAAAAGCTCTATTTTGGGGCTTTAATGAAAGTCTACTTAACACAAAATAGTATGACAAACTTTTTGAAAGTTATGACAAAATTAAAGAATTACTGCTATAAAGAAGAATCACTGGAAACAAGGAGTAATATCAGCACAGGTAGTTCCTGTTTAGGAGGAAGATGCACATCAGAACAATTTATTTGACTAATATTCTCCTCCAAAAGATTCGTATTATTGTAAATAAGCCCACATCTAATCTTTGCCTGTACCTGCATTGTTGGCAGTGCCTTTGAGAGGGAGACAGGGAATTGTTTTTAAAAGCATGGCTTCCTATTTTGTTTAGATCTCATAACATTTAAGTTAAACATTCAAGAACTAGAAGTCTTTATGGTATACTCAGTGTTTAGCATCAACTCAATTGACCTTACTTCCTAAAACAATCAGTTTATGAGAAAACTTGGTGAAAGAGACACATTTGTTGGCTTTCCTTGTCTAATTCTGTCAGATTACAAACAACTCGACTAACTGTGCCTTCAAACCAAAGGGGGTGATCTGAGCCTCTCCACTCCCCCCGGCCCGCCCCGGAAAGAGAAAAGCAGCGCTTTTCAAAGGAGATCATAAACATGACTGCTCAGTTAGGAGAATCTGGGCAGACAAAACCGAATGATTAACTTGATAGATATCATTGGCTTGGAGGAACAATTGAGAATGGGTGGATGGATGCTTACTGCAGTCTTATACAAATATGAAAAATATTAGAATATAAGCTTCCAAAACAGTGTCTGCCATTTAAATCAAACATTTTTAAAATAATTAAAAATAAGAGCATTTATTTAGTGCTTTATATGTTTAAAAGCACTATGCAATCATGATTCTGGAACATAAAGAAAAAGACTCTTATTCAGCAAGGTAATTTACTTGCATGTTTAAAATTCGGCACGTAAGTTATTGCTTCTCTTTTCCACAAAGCATTTAAGCATGGGCTCAGGAACCTCTTGCAATGCTCATACACTGCTTAGCCACAAAGAAATAAGAATCCAAAGTGTACTTCAAAGTAGGGCTTAATACATTTCTTTTGTACTTCTTGTGCTTTCTTCAGTAACTGACCATGGTTACAAGCTTTATGCATCTCATCACAAGTGCTGAGGTAGACATGTAATATATACGACAACCTACCCCAAAATTAAATATAATGTAAGGTCCCAATCCTGTAAATAAATGAACTGGTTTAGACAACTGCAGAGTCCTGTTTGGCAAAACTTATACATTTTGCTTTGTAATATTCAGGACAGGTAAACTGATTAAAAAGGCACATTTTCTCCAAAACAATTTGCTTGGAATTTTGTCTGGTAACCAGATTGATTTAAATGATGCAATTCAAACCTAAAAATTCCATGAAAATAAAAAACCCAAGCCATTGGGTTTGCATAGGAAGCTTTTATAAATAAAATTAACAATATCCTCAAGGTTTTGTGAACCATGCTTTCTGCATACTTAATCCTACTGTTTGTGACTTGGCCTTCTGAATTCAGTCTTGTGAATAAGGACAAGGAGATACCCATAGAAGATTTCAATGTTTCTCAAATTTACCTCCGGGGAGTTTTACAGTTCTCCTTTGTGCCTTCCCTTCCTCCATTCACCTAAAGCTACAAGGTTTAATACCATTGGTGAAAGAAAGGCTATTGAGTGCCTTAGAGGTTCTATTCTTTAATTTATAAAATGCTTTGATATAAACATGATCACCTCATATTGACTGAAAATATTTGGTAGTCTTTTAAATATGTGAAAGTATTACAGACATTTGCCAAACCAACTACATCAAGTCTCTTTCTTCAAGTATTCAAAGTTGACTATTATCTAGTTTCCCTGCAGATTTCTCTTACAAATGCTAAGTAATTCTAGGACATTTTCAAGAAGAAAAATTACGTTCACCCATTCATTTGATCTTTGTAGTTAGTATGCTATTGCGAGCTTCAAGTGCTGTTCTAATCAGAAAAGTGACATTAAATAGCATTGTGAGGTTCCAGTTTTAACATCTGCCAGGAATTCCAGATCAAGTTTACTCCAATTATAAGAGTTAGAAAAAACTAACTGGCAGCTTTTTAAATACTAAAAATGGGATTTGAAAGTTAAACTAGGTAGTTCCTGGTTCACATAGTAATGATTCTGAAGGCCAAATTTTACCTTGTTCTAGCTGCACAATCAGAATGCCTCCAATGGGGATGTACATATGTAGTGTAACTAAGGGTTAAATTTGATCCCATAATTGGGACTTAACAACTCTGTTGTCGTGCAGGCAGAAACTGAATTCAACTTGCTCTCCCAAAACAGAGTTGGTTCGGCAAGGATAACGAGATTAAAATTTATTTTTGTCACTGAAGTAATCAAGCTATTACTCTGAACAGATAGCAGCTCATTTCAATAAGAAAGTGTCAGTTTTACACACTCACTTTTCAGCATAACACAGCACTTTCAGAACTCTACACTACATGGTCAGCTAGTGAAACATGCAACAAAGGATACTGAAGTGACAAGTTAAAGCAAACCAGAGTTTGATTTACAGAAGACACTTATGGTGCAATGAAAGGTAACAGTCTCAGAAGGACCATTTATTAAATAAGGAGGATGACAGCAGGTTTATATAGTCTTGGGTTTCCTTCTTCCCCAAGATGATATGGTTTTTTAAAACAATTTTTCCGTTTAGGTGCTATACAGTTCATGCACAGCAAGTATTGTACAGCTTGAGATTTTGACATAACATGAAGACTTGCTGATGATCAGTAACTATTATAAACATTAAAAATTGTAATTTTTGCATTCATTCCACAAACTACTGTACAGTTTATGACACATGAAGCCACCATACAGTTTCACATTATGCCTGATTTGTCAAATTAATCTTTCGCTGACTACACTGACCATTTACATGAAAATCAGCAGGAGGGAATAACTTGAAATTATGAGACATGAGCTAGAAAGATACTGAAATTAAAAAGAGTGTTTGACAGAGGAGAGGGTTGTTTTAAAATGTTTGACTAAGCACATTATTTTCTTAACTACCAGCAGAACTCTCAGAGCTGGGGTAAAGGAGGGACAGTTAGGGTACGGAGATCACATAATAGTTAAGGATAGTTCCACACAGAAAAAACCTGCTGCGTACCATGCATTCTTGAGGGGGTTTATTTCTGAAATGGCATCAAGGCCCCTGATGTGACAAAAATGCATGCAAATCATAACACAAGAGACCAGACAAACCCTACCTTTTGGACCTGATAGATCTACAGGAAAAAGGGGAAGAGGAAAGAAATTGGGAAAGAAAAAAACGCTTGTATGAATAAATTAATAAATAGCAATACAATTTTAGAACCTACTGTAAAGGGAAAAGGTTGTTTATATAGTACATACAGTAAAGTGTGAATACAGAAATAAGCCATAATTGAAATCCAGGAAACCTTTGCAAAATTAAACTTCCCTGCTTTCCCTCTCCAGCCCCCGTCATATTGAGCTTAGTCAAATTATGCTCTTCCTGATTTTACACCCACTTGATACTATAATACAGAAACAGATGTAGCTGCATGTTACCTTGTAAAAACATTTCTCAAGCTTTACACTGAGTCTGTGGCAAGATTCTTTCATTTCAAAGATCAGATGATGAGAATTGGATTTGCACCACTTGCCTATTCCACCCTCCCTCCAAAATGGTGGATACCCAAATATCTATCCAAGAGGACAATTATGCATCTACTATTACAATAAAATCAAATGAGTTTAATAGCATTAGCTGTAAATTAAACTGCCAGCCCTTAGTAATCCTCTGCTTTGTTTCTGGGTTGTACTTAGCCAAGGAGCAGCAATGACATTTTAATAACTAGTAGAAAACGGCATTATCAAGTACAATTTTCAATCCATCAGTTATACAGAAAATGTGTCAGCTGTTGGCTAGGACTAATGTTACTGCTCAAAAGCCTGTACGTACACCCAAATGCTTCCAACTGTGTTCCTCTTCCTCTGCCCAGCTTTTAATTGTAATTGTTAATAGGCCTCCAATGATCAGATTGAAAGTGCACGTCTGCAGCCAGTAATGACTGCACTGCTGCTGCTGCTACTAACCAAACTGTTGCCTAATTTCTTACTAACAGTTTGAATAGTACACCAAAAAAATTACCCACATGCTCTCTTCTCTAGTTAGTTTACTGACTAAGAATTTACTTTAGTTTTTAGACAAATGACAATAGTGTGTTTGTATTGAAAGAGACAGAAAAGTGTAGAGAATGGAACAAAGAACAGGAGTACTTGTGGCACCTTAGAGACTAACAAATTTATTAGAGCATAAGCTTTCGTGGGCTACAACCCACTTCTTCGGATGCATATTGAGTGAAACAATAAATTTGTTAGTCTCTAAGGTGCCACAAGTACTCCTGTTCTTTTTGCGGATACAGACTAACACGGCTGCTACTCTGAAACCTGTCAGAATGGAACAAGTTTCCTTTTGAATTGGTATTAGTACCTCTAAGCAACAAGCAGTTTTTGTATTAAACAGATACATAGTAGGAAAAAATTGAACCATGGAGGAATGGAAAATGGATTCATTCTGTTGTACATGTAGAGAATTTACAGTGCTGGTTAATTAAGGAAGCTCTTAATTCTCCAGTATAGCAGAACTGCCAATCAATCATTAATTTTACCTAACATCTATTTTTTTGGAGATTCACAGATATTGAATAAATCCCATCACTTCTGAAACTAGGGGGCACACGCTCTTCTATGGGGGGAAAAGCCCATCTACGGAATACAAATCAGTTTCAACTCTGAATTTCCTCTTCATTATTCAATGCGGAGTGGGGAGCCGGGTTGGTCCAGCTACGGAATGGACAAGTACTCAGTCCCCCTAAATCAGTGAATTTTGAGATACTCAGAGACCCAGGATCTCCTTGGCATTTCTTTAGGCATCCCATCTCACAGGCTATGCCTGTGCAAAATTTCCCCTCAGGGTGATGGTGAAGGGCAGTTGCAGAGTCTGTGTTAATGCCTCCGAAGTATTAACTCTGAGCACAGATGCAGAGGGGATAATTGGGACCTAGATCTTCCCCACACAGCTAACCAACCAACTTGTGTATCTTTGTGACACTATGATACTGTATTGATGCCAGTCTGTTGCTTTCGAATTAGTTAATATTTCAGCATTATAACTTCAAAATTAATTAGGAAGAAAAGGTAAGCTATAAGGGAGAAACACTTTGTTTAAGTACTAATGTCGGTGTTCAACAGAAGTGGAAAGAGCATAGAAGATAAGTTTTATCTACCTTTCCAAAACCGCTATTCTTCTAGATGTGTTGCCCATGTCCATTCCACTGTAGTTGAGCATGCACCTTGTGCACCATTGTTGGAGAACCTTTTCCCCTCAGTGGTACCCATCGGGGTGACTCGAGTGCTATCGTCATGCGCCACTGCATGCTAGTATAAGAGAGCAGAGCCACCCCCAATCTCCTTCAGGATCTTCTTACTGGATGAACTCCAAGAGAGAGGGAAGGAGTTCAGGTTGTGGAATGGACATATGCAACACATCTCAATGAACAGTTATGAAAAAGGTAGGTAACCATTTTTTCTTCAAGTGACTGCACGTCTTATCCACTGTAGGTGACACACAAGCAGAACAACATTGAGGCAGGTTTGCAGTCTATCTGAACAGTGATTGTAGAAGAAATGTCCAAAAACTAGCATTGTTCCTGGACTGATGGGAAATGGCATAATGAGCAGCAAAAGCGTGTACCCTAATGACCATAATTCTGCTTTGCAAATGTCTCGAATAGGTACTTGTGCTAGGAAAGCTGCTGAAGCCACTTGCATTGTGGTCAAATGAGCTGATACTTTAGGGGTAGTGTGACATTAGCTAACTAGCAGCACAAACAAATGCAAGAGAAAATCCAAAAGGAAGTCCAGCATGGAAATCAGTTTGCTTTCAAATAATTTGTTCAATTGCAACAAATAACTGCGTAAAGGGTCGGACGCAGTCCAAGTAGAAGGCCAATGCTCTTCTCACATCCAATGAATGAAACTTCTGCTCATCTGTATACACGAGGCTTCTGGAAAAATGTTGGTACATAAATTGCCTGATTAATGTAGAAATTGAAAACTATCTTTGTCAAGAATTTTGGGCGATGGAGGTAAACGTTATCCTTATGAAAAACCGTGTAAAGAGGTTCTGAAACCAAGGCTCCTAATTTACCCACTCTCTTTGCTGAGGTTATTGCACCAGAAACACCATTTTCATAGAGAAGTGGAGTAGGAGGCAAGTCGTAAGAAGTTCAAAGGAAGGCCCCATTAATTTTGTTAGCATGAGGTTGAAATCCCATGGGGTTCTTGTACCAGAAGAAATAATCTGTCCAATCATTTTAGAAATCTGATAGTAAATCGTTTTTTTTAACTCCATAACTACTCACTGCAGAGTGGAACATTACAATCACAAATGTACTTTAATGGAACTAACTGTCAGGCACTACTGTTGGAGGTGCCAAAATGTGGTTAATGGAAGCCTGCTCTGGAGAGAGACTTCTCTGCTGAGACCAGATAAAACAGCATTGCCATTTGTGGAGTGGAGGGCCCCCTGGTTGCACAGGCCATTGTCCCTTGCATTGTCCCCACTGTTGGGACATCCAGGGACCCCAGGGCTCTGATGGAGGGTAAGCTTCCTGTCTGTTGTGGGACACAAAAGACCCCACTTCCGAATCTGACTAAGATGACTGAGTCCAGAGATAACAATGGAGCAGAACCTATGTCAATAGGAGACAGGTAACCCAAACCCAGAGATGGTGGTACTGTGGATATTAATGGTGGCTTGCCCCATGAATGTGCCAGCCTTCTAGGTACTGGAAGTGGCTTCGGTCCACATGCTCATTGCCCAAAGTTGTCTGGAGCAAATCCATCAGAAATGTATAGATGTGTATATGGGTTTTGTTACAATCTCAGTGAGTGAAGGATGGAAATTTAAATCTGATCCCAATGGGCAAGTCGAGCAAATATTTTGACAACCAATGCTCCAATAAGTCTAATATCTAGTAGGTATCTGGAATATGGAAAGTAGGAGAGCCTCTGGGTGGGAAATGAATTAAAATATCCTACAGCTCATTTAGACTGAGCAAGAATGCTTATTAAACTCTAGATTTCCACTTCTCTCGTATTTTCAGTTGCCTTTCACTGTATCTAGCTGGCAAAAATGCATCACAAAAAGCAGGTTAGGTGTAGGAGGTATTGGTCTTATTTAGCCTGTTTTTCCTCTCTCCCTGCTTTACCATTCTCATTTTCTTGTACCTCTCTCTGTCTCATCTTCATTCTTCAGAATCTTTCACTGTGCATGGGCTGCTGAGAAAAAGGTGAGGTTTGCACTGGACTCTGACAGCATTCACAAATGGGTACATTCTGGTGTCTGGCAGATGTTCCACAGTTTGGAGACAGGGCAGAGAAAATTTTGCCTCTGAGTCCTAAAATATTCACACTTAGATTAGAAAAGTTTGTGTGCTCAATGAGTGTAGCATTTTGCAGCTAGAGAGATGGTCTCAGAGTCTGGACCCAGTTTATTAATGGCATTAATGATTAGGCCAAGGGCCTTGATTTGGACCCAGAGGTTAATGTGGGGGGCGGGAGTGGCGAGCACAGTGTAATGATGTAATGTGCTGTCAACAGCTAGCCTGGATCAAGAAGCGGGCTGCTACATTTTATAAAAATGGGATTTTTGATTAACCACTAACATTAACTTGCAGGAGTTACAGTAGTTCATTCTTGAGGTGAAAATGCATGGATTAGGGTGGTTACATCCAGGTCTGACAGAAATAGGTATAACTCCACACTGACAACATGGAAAGTCATCATATAACTAAACGACTAGGTCCCAACTAAAAATAAAGTAGAATAAAGTCTTCCATATTGAAAGCCATACTTCAACACACCAATATTAACTAATACATCCTTCAAAAAGCCCTCCTGAATTTCTAATAAAGTAGTGGAAAGAGACTGCTTTATAAATTAAGATTAATCCTCCCGCTTCCAATTTAGCCTTAAAATAGAGAGTAGGTTTATCAGAATGTAGAGCCTTTTGGCCGCTCTGCAGCAAGCCCAAACATTAATTTATATAGTAAGAAAATACCTTCATGGGAAAGATTAAACAAAAGGAATAAATGTCAACCATAATAAATAGCATAATCAATAACTATCCATTACTTTTAAACTAAGAGGGATATCCTATTGCAGCTATATAATCAAAGATTTTTTTTTCTTCTATCAA